AGATATGATATGATATATTTCATATATAGTATATGATATATAGTTACTATATAGTTACTATATGTGTGTGCATCCTTTACATCAATATTCTGCTGCTGGCGCTGAGGAGGGGGCTAGGCCAGGCAGTGTCTTGGCAGCTCCACTTGGAAAAAATTCCCATCAGAGGTTTTCGCCTGGTCAAAATGGGATACACACTGATTTTCTATGGGAAACTGATGATTTTCTATGGGAAACTGATGATTTTCTATGGGAAACTGATGATTTTCTCTATGGGAAAATGATGATTTTCTATGGGAAAATGATGATTTTCTATGGGAAACTGATGATTTTCTATGGGAAACTGATGATTTTCTATGGGAAACTGATGATTTTCTATGGGAAACTGATGATTTTCTCTATGGGAAAATGATGATTTTCTATGGGAAACTGATGACTTTCTATGGGAAAATGATTATTTTCTATGGGAAAATGATGATTTTCTATGGGAAACTGATGATTTTCTATGGGAAAATGATGATTTTCTATGGGAAACTGATGATTTTCTATAGGAAAATGATGATTTTCTATGGGAAAATGATGATTTTCTATGGGAAACTGATGATTTTCTATGGGAAAATGATGATTTTCTATGGGAAAATGATGATTTTCTATGGGAAACTGATGATTTTCTATGGGAAAATGATGATTTTCTATGGGAAACTGGTGATTTTCTATGGGAAAATGATGATTTTCTATGGGAAAATGATGATTTTCTATGGGAAAATGATGATTTTCTATGGGAAAATAATGATTTTCTATGGGAAACTGATGATTTTCTATGGGAAACTGATGATTTTCTATGGGAAAATGATGATTTTCTATGGGAAAATGATGATTTTCTATGGGAAACTGATGATTTTCTATGGGAAAATGATGATTTTCTATGGGAAACTGATGATTTTCTATGGGAAAATGATGATTTTCTATGGGAAAATGATGATTTTCTATGGGAAAATGATGATTTTCTATGGGAAACTGATGATTTTCTATGGGAAACTGATGATTTTCTATGGGAAACTGATGATTTTCTATGGGAAACTGATGATTTTCTATGGGAAAATGATGATTTTCTATGGGAAACTGATGATTTTCTATGGGAAACTGATGATTTTCTATGGGAAACTGATGATTTTCTATGGGAAACTGATGATTTTCTATGGGAAACTGATGATTTTCTCTATGGGAAAATGATGATTTTCTCTATGGGAAAATGATGATTTTCTATGGGAAAATGATGATTTTCTATGGGAAAATGATGATTTTCTATGGGAAAATGATGATTTTCTATGGGAAACTGATGATTTTCTATGGGAAACTGATGATTTTCTATGGGAAACTGATGATTTTCTATGGGAAAATGATGATTTTCTATGGGAAAATGATGATTTTCTATGGGAAAATGATGATTTTCTATGGGAAAATGATGATTTTCTATGGGAAACTGATGATTTTCTATGGGAAACTGATGATTTTCTATGGGAAACTGATGATTTTCTATGGGAAAATGATGATTTTCTACAACTCAACAATATCGAGATAATGGAGCTTTTAATCCCACCAATTTTGAATGCCCAAGTGCATTCCCAAGTGATTCCGCTGATAAATATAGACTGGTTCAAATGATGGCTTTAAAATTGGAAAAAACAGCCGGAAAACAAGTGAACGTTCTCGGCACGTGACTTCACTGATGTCAATCCCTTGTCATTGGGGGGGATGTACCATTTTAGTAGCAGGTGACATCACTATTTGGGGGAACCCACCTATTAATCCAGGGTTGCCATTAATCATTACATATGTTATGTTCAATATGTTGTTTTATATGGTTTTATTATGGAAAATAAGGAGTTGCAGCAACTGAGTTAAGCATGAAGAATTGGGAATGAGATATTATGAGAATAATATGAAAAAAACAATTATAAACCTCCAATTTGGATGGTATACGACCTATTTCTCCTAAACACGGGGGTGGGTGGCGGTTTACAATTGAGTTTATGATGTTGAGATTTCCCCATTTATGGGTTTGTCTGAAAATAAGGGGAATTCAATAGTTTGGAGTTTACCATCAAGAATGTGTTTTTTGCTGTTATATAAATTCATTAAATACTGGTTGTGAAAATTGGCATGGGCGATACCCCAAAAATTGCAAGTTTAATGAGGAAATGCTTATGAGGTAATCGATTTCATTCGATTTCAGGGTTTATGAGTCCTCTAGGATGAACATGTAAAACTGTCAATTCTTTGGGATTCTTTGAGGTTGTTCATGAGATGCTACCTGAAATTTGACGATCGCGGATTTGTAACAAAAACCCATGACTTCCCATGTTTTTTGGGGAATGTAACTGGGTACTCTTACAACCAGCAACCATTGAGGTATAAATGGGTATGGATCAATACCTATTAATACCATTTTTAGTGGGATGAACATTCATTTACTAGGTACCAGGGTTTTGACCCATCCCCAAGTACCTCTGATTTCGCATATGAATTGGGGATGAGCATCCATAACTGCAAGATATGTTGGTGCGAAAGCAGGGTACCCATGTATTGGGCAAGTTATGTTGCGACATGGGCTGACCTGATGAGGAACCATCAATGCTTACGATTTCGGGGAATCGTCCCCATCATTTGGCCAGAGACTGTTTCGTAAGCAGAGCAGACAGGGGAATGCTTGGGGTGAGTCTGGGGGATGGTATCGACTCGAATGGAGGAAGAGAGTGGCTCGTCCCTGTTGTCACGGTCCGTCTGCATCTTCTATCCTTTCTTAGGCACATTTATTTGTCTTTTTGGATCTACGATGTTTGGGTGCGTGTGAAAATGGGTAGACCCGAAATAGAAATTTCACAGGATGAATTGCAAGTGTCATAGGAACTGGGGGTGCCCTATGTTCCAACAAACCAGGTTTGGAGTAATCATGCTTCGGAAGTTATGAGTAGAAGCTGCCAGCTAACAGATCGTCCTAAGTAGTCCAAGTACTGTGGTTCTTCATCCCTTCTGGGTTTCCAAGCAGAGGATGCCTCACTATTATTGGTGAGCCGTAAAGCAGTTTTCCATGGTGCGGCTCACACTGGTTAAGGGCAAATCCAACAGGAAATCCAAGTGATTAGGGACTAGGGATATTCAGGATATCCCCAGATGTGTTGATCCACTTTGTTTCACCAAGGATCACGTCCCGCGAGAGTTCCTATGCCTTCAGCCGCCCCAGGATGGCAACCGGACGGTCAGTGTTTTGCAGATGCCGGCTATCTGCCGAGCTATGAGACAGCCATGGCAATTGCGCCAAGCCCGCCCATGGAACCTCTGACATCACAATGCAGCCGACCCAGCATGCAGCCAAACCCATGCCAGATGGGACCTCCTTGCAGTCAGGGTTGTATGGACCAGCCGTACGGTCAACCCAGCATGCAGCCAAGCCCTTGCGCTATGGGACCTCCTTGCAGTCAGGGTAGTATGAACCAGCCATATGGTCAACTCAGCATGCAGCCAAGCCCTTGCGCTATGGGACCTCCTTGCAGTCAGGGTAGTATGAACCAGCCATATGGTCAACTCAGCATGCAGCCAAGCCCATGCCAGATGGGACCTCCTTGCAGTCAGGGTGGTATAAACCAGCCATATGGTCAACTCAGCATGCAGCCAAGCCCATGCCAGATGGGACTTCCTTGCAGTCAGGGAGGTATGAACCAGCCGTATGGTCAACCCAGCATGCAGTCAGGCCCATGCCAGATGGGACCTCCTTGCAGTCAGGGTGGTATGAACCAGCAGTATGGCCAACCCAGCACGCAGCCAAGCCCTTGCGCTATGGGACCTCCTTGCAGTCAGGGTGGCATGAACCAGCTATATGGTCAACCCAGCATGCAGCCAAGCCCATGCCAGATGGGACCTCCTTGCAGTCAGGGAGGTATGAACCAGTCGTATGGTCAACCCAGCATGCAGTCAGGCCCATGCCAGATGGGACCTCCTTGCAGTCAGGGAGGTATGAAACATCAGTATGGCCAAGCAGACATGCATTCAAGCCCATGCGCGATGGGTGCCCCTGGTCAAGCAGCCATGAACCAGCCGTACGGCCAAGCAGACATGCATGCAAGCCCATGCGCGATGGGTGCCCCTGGTCAAGCAGGTATGAACCAGCCGTACAGCCAGCAGACATGCATTCAAGCCCATGCGCGATGGGTGCCCCTGGTCAAGCAGCCATGAACCAGCCATACGGCCAAGCAGACATGCATTCAAGCCCGTGCGCGATGGGCGCCCCTGGTCAAGCAGCCATGAACCAGCCATACGGCCAAGCAGACATGCATGCAAGCCCATGCGCGATGGGTGCCCCTGGTCAAGCAGCTATGAACCAGCCGTACGGCCAAGCAGACATGCATGCAAGCCCATGCGCGATGGGCGCCCCTGGTCAAGCAGCTATGAACCAGCCGTACGGCCAGGCAGACATGCATTCAAGCGCATGCGCAATGGGTGCCCCTGGTCCAGCAGCTGTGAACCAGCCGTACGGTCGCCAAGCAGACATGCATTCAAGCCCATGCGCGATGGGTGCCCCTGGTCAAGCAGCCATGAACCAGCCATACGGCCAAGCAGACATGCATTCAAGCCCGTGCGCGATGGGCGCCCCTGGTCAAGCAGCCATGAACCAGCCATACGGCCAAGCAGACATGCATGCAAGCCCATGCGCGATGGGTGCCCCTGGTCAAGCAGCTATGAACCAGCCGTACGGCCAAGCAGACATGCATGCAAGCCCATGCGCGATGGGCGCCCCTGGTCAAGCAGCTATGAACCAGCCGTACGGCCAGGCAGACATGCATTCAAGCGCATGCGCAATGGGTGCCCCTGGTCCAGCAGCTGTGAACCAGCCGTACGGTCGCCAAGCAGACATGCATTCAAGCCCATGCGCGATGGGTGCCCCTGGTCAAGCAGCCATGAACCAGCCATACGGCCAAGCAGACATGCATTCAAGCCCATGTGCGATGGGTGCCCCTGGTCAAGCAGCTGTGAACCAGAAGTATGGCCAATCAGACATGCATTCAAGCCCGTGCGCGATGGGCGCCCCTGGTCAATTTTCAATGACCTCGCCATATGCCCTAACAGATGCATTTGTTCAATCATGTGGGAACAGTTATGACCCTCAATTCCCTCCCATGGCTGCTTCGCAGCCAGCAGTATATCATTCTGAAGTTTCTGGGCCAATGACAGATCAACCTGGAGATAAAGCAGGAGCCAATGCAGCCCTCGGCTTTACTCCAACGAATTTCGGAGACTGTGACTTGGCTTTTGCTGAGAAACCACCTGAGAATGCAGGGTTGTTTATCTTACTTTTGGCTGGCCAAGCAAAATTAACAATGAGTTTACTTCACGGCCCAGGAAGGAAACATCGACAAAATCCTATGGCTTTCGGGTTTACTTCCATGGCATCCTATGGCTATGAGATGGTCCTTGCGTGCTCCATCAAGATCCCATTGATTTTTTAGCAAAGACCGTGTCTTCTTTGGCCTGGCCACTGGAGTCTTTTAACTGGCCATCAAAACAAGTCTCAATGAAACACTTCAGAATTGTTGAAAACAGTTTCAATGGGTTTCAACGGGTTCAATGATGACTTCCCCTTTCCATCACTTGAGAAGCTTCAAAGATAAGCGCCTTGCGGGTTTGCATCCGCAGGGGGCCAAAGTTTGCCACATCCTCCGCGCCTTGGAGATCCGATTAAAGATGTGTTGGGGGAACACCAATTTAAAAAAAAAAAAACGTCAACATCCGGAAACATCACCTCAATCTATTTGTTCAGAAATGAATAGTTGTTACATGTTGTTACCACAGTTAGCTTTTGATAGGTGCCAAACCCATTTGAGGATTTGTGAATTGGAGAACTGGCGCAAGTCTGAGCTGGGAACCTGTTTCTGACCTTGACAACACTCCCAAACTCACAGGGGGGGGTTCCTGTTTCAGGGGCCCCGTGGAGGATGTAGAAAATTGAAAAGTGAAGGCGTCGGGATTCCGTTCCACAGCAGACCAATCTAGGAGCATCCTGTCATGGCATGCCAATGTAGGATCAGGTGTGTTTTTGCATCTGTTCTATCCCTGTCATTGTTGACTAAATCAGCATGCCCATACCTGTTGGGTGGTTGCAAGTATTTTTGCTCCATCCCTACCATGATGATAATCCCAATTGACTGCTGAAGGTGATTTCTCGTTTTCCTGACGGTGAAGCCACTAAAGCAAAAACATCAGCTGCGGAAAACCGTCTTCTTTGCCATGAATCCTTTGAAACCACTAAGCATTCAGAATCAGACAATACCACACCCGGTTTACATCCATCTATCTCCTTCAGCCGATTCAAAATTCATCATTATAGTTGCTTGATGATTTTTCAACAACAATGTAATAAAAATAATAGATAATATCAAATAATATTCAAATAATGACAATGATGATAACAACAACAATAGTATTGTAATGGTTCAATCAGCAACAATTTGTGATGCTTCCACCTCCGACGGAACGGGTTCAGCGACAAATCTCAGGTCTGGGAGCCTGCCCGGCTCGCCTTATGAAGGTTGGAACGGTTGGGAAGGGGTGAACAGCAATCAAAAATCACCGTGTTTAACCAACAAAAACAATACGGGGTCAAGCAGTCAAGCAACACAAAATGCTGAGGTCATGTTTAACCATGTTTAACCAACCATTTTGTTGTTCTTTTCAAACATACCTGCTGGTGCTGACCTCCAAACATCCAGAGATTAAGCCAGCAAAACATGTGAACGAAAAAAAAAGTTTCACCAACAAAAACCCGGAGAGTAAGCAAAAATGTTACCAACAACAGTCATACAGTAATTCATAAAAATAGCAATAGTAATGATTATACGGAACTGACCCAACGAACCAGGGGGGTTAACCAGCAACAGTGGGCAAAGATGGGAGATAAACCAGCAAAAATGGGAAACTCCAATGAAAACAGAGAGATCAAGCATCAAAGCTGATGGTTGTGAATATGCGCCATTTTAGGAAACCCAATATTAGCCCACGCCAGAATGTGGATTCGGCCACCAGTAAACTCGGTAGATAGTTGGCTGGTTGGTTTCTTTTCTTGAACTCTTTATCTTTATTCATCATTCCAGTGTTTCAACAACGAGTGAACGATCCATTCCTGGAAATCCGCCTTGGTTTGCTTCAATGCTCTGGGCCAAACCTCAACCCTCGACCAAGTTTTAGCCAACGAGAACTTGCAAGGTTGCAAGTTTGATATCAGTATCTATGGGTACCACCTGATGTGCATCCCAAGAACCGTGGCTAAAAAGCCCGTCAGGACTTCTGATTACATCTGACCCTTATTGCGTTATCTTGAGATATCCAGGGTTATCAACAAATTAGAGGGATGCACATCCCTCTATGATTCTACAGTGTGACGAAGACACAGGTCCTGAAAAGATCAACTAGAGAAACCTAGGACTCATTGTATCCCATTGTTGTCTGCAACTTTTGGCTTTCCATGGGAATTTCGAATTTCCGGTATGTGTCCTGCAACTCTGCTTTTCTGACATTAAACTCCTTGATCCTCCCACGCCAACAGGTTCTGCCACAATGCCTGGGGCTATGCCTGGGGCTATGCCTGGGGCTCGTTTGGTGGGCTTGGGGCCAGAGAGGAAGTTCCAGATACATCAGTTTTTCTTGTTGAAATTCAGACATGTTGCTTGTAGTTTGCAGGTGGGTATGGATTGTGGCAAAATTATTACTTCCAAGCTCTTGACCCATTGGTGAGAGGGATATCTAGCAACGAATTTGGATCAGCCAACTTGGGACATGGAAGCATCCAATCGTGGGTGAAGCAAATTTTGACCCACAAAATCCTCCCAAGATAATCCAACATGTCACAGCGGATCAGGAGACTCAAAAAATTGGGACCTGGATCTTGAGCCCGAGGCGATATTTCCGCCCCAAGGTGATGTTGTGAATTCTTGACAAGTCATGATAGCACCACCAGAATCGAAGAAAATAGGTTGAAAGTTCACAGTTCCACACGAGTTGCGGAGGTTTCCGCCTGAATAGTGGGCGGTTTCGCCTGAATAACGGGTGCTCTGGTTGGATTGAGCTGCCATGAAGACTCCCTACTGTACATCTCCGCAACTCCTCCTTGGAAATAAACTGCCCGCGGTCAAACAAACATCCTGAGACCATTGGAAAACAAATAAGGCTAATTTGTTCAGTTCGAAATCAGCCGGAAAGAAGTTTCAAATAAACTTCATTGGCAGGGTATCTAAGATTGGCCAAGCGACGGTGCAAGATTGAGACCAACAAAGTGCTTAAAAGGGCTGAAATATTTATATATATATATATACATTTTTTTGCTGCATCTAGTGTTCCATGTCCCTGCTGGGGTTTGCCGATTGAAGTTGGTTGGGACATGTTGAGACATGTTGATTTGGTACTATTGGTTTTGGGGGTTGCCCACAAATGCAACAATGGGTCGTCAATGTTTGGCATCGTGTTCACCTGGGGTTTCATCTTCAGATGCACCGGTATATCATGGTATTTCATGTTTGGCTTTGTTTATCCCCTCAATAATTGATAATACATATATACAAATATATATATATATATGCACATTGCACTTACATGATATATGTACATACAAGATACAATGTGCATATATATATATATACAATATGTGTTTTACATAATTATAGAACTGTTTATACATATATATATATTTACATGTATACATGTTATACATACATACATACATACATACATACATACATACATACATACATACATACATACATACATACATACATACATACATACATACATAGTTACATAGTGACATAATCATACATACATACATACATACATACATGCATACATGCATACATGCATACATGCATACATACATACATACAGAATCAGACATACATTCATTCATTCATACATACACACATACATACATACAGAATCATACATACATACAGAATCATACATACATACAGAATCAGACATACATACAGAATCATACATACAGACAGAATCAGACATACATACATACATACATACATACACACATACATACATACATACATACATACATACATACATACATAGTTACAAAATCATACATACTTTCATGCATACGTACGTACGTACGTCCGTACGTACATACGTACGTACATACATACATACATACAGAATCAGACATACATACAGAAGCAGACATACATTCATTCATTCGTTCATTCATACATACATACATACATACAGAATCAGACATACATACATACATACATGCATACATACATACATACATACAGAATCATACATAGATACAGAATCATACATACATACATGTATTCATTCATTCATTCATCCATTCATTCATTCATTCATTGATTCATACATACATACATAGTTACATAGTTACATAATCATGCATTCATTCATTCATTCATTCATCCATTCATTCATTCATACATACATACATACATGTATAGCGCTTTACTCGTACCTATACGTTATTTATACATATATGTGTATATATATATATATGTGCGTGTTATCCCTTTCTTATCGCTTCTCTTGCTAGGATGTCCCATTGTGTGTTGAAACCACCCGAGGCCCAATCAGGAGCCCTCAACCCAGTCCCTTGGCACCAAAACTGAAAAGCCACAAGAGTTGTGCACCAAGATGTCGAATGTTATTTTTATCATATGTTTACCAAAGGTTACCATTTAATTTCCAGGATTGAAACTGTTCGATCAGCTTAGGTGTTGCTACAAAATGATGGGTTGATAGGGGAAATCATCCCCAAACTCAGGTTTGTGACCTTTTTGTAGTTTTCCCAGGTGAATAAAATAGTCTTAAGCCGTGGAGGCTGACAACGACCAGTCAAAACCTGGGGTGTCAACAGAAGCCGGGGATTGGAGCAAGGAGCCAACAGAAAGGCGACTGTATAATTTACAACCATCCACCGTAACCAACGAAGATCCAACGAACCAACAAACCCTGGGTATGTTAAAGACCGTAGATCCAGGAAGATTGCCAAATGCCTGATGGGTCAGTGACTATGGCCGGGGTACCTTGCCGGAGTATGTGATTGCCCATTTGCTTCCTGATGTTCTGGGCCTCTAATTCGAGCGCAAGCGAAATGACCCACCTTTTTGCACCAAATAGAACAAATGTGCCAATTTTGGTTGGTGAATTTTCTAGATTTGCGAAAGATCAAACCTTGGAGTTGTCGCTGGCACCGAGGTTTGTGGCCGACGATATGAATCACTACGAGTTCTGAGTTGGAAAAACAGATGAGTTGGTGGTGGCCGGTCTGGTGGCTATTTGAAGGGGACACTTCATTGGAAAATCATGGGAATAGATGGATACCAATGGGGATTCAGTGGGGAATACAATACCTTATTGTTGAAACAGCGAATAAATGTGATTCAACCACCGGACTTCGACGAAGAAATTGAGGGATATCAGAATGCCCCCACGTGATGACCATGCAAAAATGGGATAACATGATGATCAACAATGAACTTTTGGATACTTTTGGAGTATATCACGCGGTATCCGGCGGTATCCGATATTTCAACAAAGCCTCGGCTGGGTGATGATTTTAAGTAAATCAATCCCGTGACAGTTGCAGCAACTGGCAGCACTGATCTCACTTTGGTTCAGGGCTTGGAGGAGTCCCATAGGGATGGTCAACTGATGGGCTTCCGCCGCGCAGATCAAAAACCAACAGTGAGCTGTGGAAAAAACACATGAAAGTAGCTGGTATATATGCATGTTCATCACGTTTATCCCCCAGGTCATTTGGTAAAATCATATGTTTTGAGCCATCTCCATCATTCAAGACCATAATAACATATAATTACCATAATACTTTTGTAGGGTCAAGAATGGGGATATAAAATGTTCCAATCAGCATTTGGATACCATGTCAATCATGGGTCCGTACTCAGACAACTGTGGCCCCGTTCCATCCCAATCAACTCGAGTGGGCCAAATTCAAAGAACATCGCTATACTTACCATGTGTGTGTGTGTATATATGATATCTACCCATTTTCCCCATGTCCATGCTGGTTCCTCAGCAACATATGACTATGAATCAAGCAAATTGAGCCCTATGCTTTTGTTTTGTTTCAATACTATGAAAAGTATGACCATGTAAAGCTCGTGCCCCATCCCCTTTTTGCCTCATCATTGTGGGCTCGTTTCCATCATTGGTAGCTTGGCCCTTGGCGCCATGCCACCCAAATTGCCAGAGGGCAAGTACTGCGAACTGCCCCAGCAAGGCCAGGCCATGACACCAGGGGGCTGGGGCATGTGCCACAGGACGAAATTTCGTTCGAATATGGTGATATTTACAACCCAAAAAATACATCCCTAGCTGGGATGATCATGATTGTGATGATGATGATGATGATGATGGTGATGGTGATGGTGATGGTGATGGTGATGATGATCATGATGATGATGATGGTGATGATGATGATGAGGATGATGGTCACGGTGATGAAGATGGAGATGGCGATGATGAAGGTGGTGATGGTGATGATGAAGAAGATGGTGGTGATGATGATGATGGTCACGGTGATGAAGATGGAGATGGCGATGATGAAGGTGGTGATGGTGATGATGAAGAAGATGGTGATGGTGGTGATGAAGAAGATGGTGATGGTGGTGATGATCATGATGATGATGATGATGATGATGTTCACGGTGATGAAGATGAAGATGATGATGATGATGATGATGATGGTGGTGGTGGTGGTGCTGATGTTGGTGCTGATGATGATGCTGATGATGATGATGATGATGATAATGATGATGGTGATGATGATGATGATGATGCTGATGTTGATGCTGATGCTGATGATGATGATGCTGATGGTGGTGATGAAGGTGGTGATGGTGATGATGATGATGGTGATGGTGATGATGATGATGAGGATGATGGTCACGGTGATGAAGATGGAGATGGCGATGATGAAGGTGGTGATGGTGATGATGAAGAAGATGGTGATGGTGGTGATGATCATGATGATGATGATGATGAAGATGGTGATGGTGATGATGATGATGATGGTGATGGTCACGGTGATGATGATGATGATGATGCTGATGTTGATGCTGATGATGATGAAGATGGTGATGCTGATGTTGATGCTGATGATGATGATGATGATGCTGATGATGATGATGATGATGATTGTGTTCGGTTAGCCGATGTTTTACATGTTTGGGAGGGCTTGAAACCGACCAGCAGCTACCCATGCTGTCAGGGAATTGATGGCCAAAACATACCAATGCAACTTTCACTTGTTTGTGTGCTCATGCAATGGTGGTGATATCCCAAATTCTCGTAAGACCCAATTTCGGCCAGGAAAAGGAGAACAGAAAGTAAGATGTAAGAATCTATAAGATCTGCCTAAGCATATGTTAGCCTCAACTTCACAGAACATGTCTTTGATCTTCTTGGATTTGTTTCCAAAGTTCGGTACCCCACAGGACGCCTCTAGAAAAAACAGTGTTGAAATTTGTTTGCAAAGTTTTCGCATCACTTTTGGACACTGTCTCCGCATGCAGATGTTCCCCCAGTTTTGGATGTGCCCCAGCGGTTGCATCCCAGTGACCATGGTGGACATGTACGGTTCGGCATGTTCAATCCGCACGGTTCAACTCAACCTACCGAGATGTTTTTTATTTCAGCATATTTCAACCCTTTGCTGTTTTTTGGAGTGAGATATTGCCTGGTTGGACAGGGATAGTGAAAAAAACCTGTAAGGACATCCGTGCTGATTATTGACCAACCATTCACTTGGCATTGAATAGTTCGTGGTGTTCACACTCAGTGGTCAGGTGTAAAGCTCTACTACGAGATTCAAGGTCCTCTTCGTCGGGATTTTCAAGGTGCTCCGTTTTGGCATTTGCCACGTGAACCGCTTTAAAAATACCTTATATTATCCTATATTCATAGTCTGTGACGATGGGGGCTATAAAGCTAACGGGTTTGTTTGAAATTATTCTAGTTTATTCATTTTCTGGGATACCCACATATACCCATTTGAGCAAGCAGTATATTCTATTCGGCATTACGGATCCTCGGCCTTGCGCTAGTCGACAACTGCAGGCCTCAACCAAAGAATCTGCATGTTTTGCCGTTTGTCTCACCAACTTGAACAGTAGGGTTTCAAACTGGTTACCTCCATGATTTTGATTTGTGTATATTCATTGTTGTTCATAGCTCCAAAGATGTGCCTTAAAAGCCTTCAATCAGCTCCCGGTTTGTCAAATTTTGGCCTTGGCAGGGGAGAAGGAGGAAGTGCTTTTCCTGCTAATGGGCTCAGTGGCGGACCTGCGAAAGACCACGGATCAGCAGTTTGTGGCTTGGTGGGAGATGGAGGGCTAGGTTTTAAACCAAGCAGAGATAAGCAGAGCAATTGCGGAATATGGCGGAGATGTAATGGGAACATATGGAATAGGTCCTATAGGCTCAATAGGTAACCAACAATTGATTTGGAGAGGACAAAGCCATACAGCGATTTTAAAAGAGACACCGTGGGTGGCCATGGACATTGGTCCATACCTGGATACGCATCCCAGTTGGTAAGTGGGCCGGAAAGATTTCTTCGGGGCCGAAGGGATCATGGATCAGCTGCTCAGGTGGATCAAAAGATCCAATTGAGTCAGGCGTGGTAAGAGCCTCATAGCATGAAAGATATGACGGTTTTTCATAGGCAAATCAGTATATCATGGCAAACGGTTGAATTACCATGAATTACCAGAGGCTAGCCATCTGCGACTTTCAATGGCGACTTTGTCATATCCGGCTAAGACTTGACTGAACAGGTTGCATAGATGGTGAAAATTTCCGGCCTTTCTTATAGTCACACAGGTTATACCCATATTATTCCTATTCTATCAGTATTTGGCAAAGAAAATACGCCACAAATGTTCCATTTGCATCCATTTGCTTTGCTTGTGAGATAGCATGGGATAGCTCTACCCCTATCATATTCGAAGATTGATCAGGTTCATATGGGTGTCACCCCAGGTCAATGCGGGACTCGGAATGTTCAAAGTTCCTGGGCAAAAAGATGGGCGGTTTCCCAAGAGAAACGTGCTGAAAACAACGGGATGGTGGGCGGCTGTAGAGTTCCCATGTGTTCCCTTTTAGTTCCTGGATTTGTTTTGTCTACTTGGGGCTTGAAGGTTTGTGACAACTCCTCCCTTTCGACAAATGTTACTGAAACGTGAATCTCCCGCAAGGCCAAGCAATTACGAGTTCTCAAACGTGGTACTGGAAAGCCATCATCCGTAGATCAGATACTTTCATGGGGAGTCAACTAGACCTCCCAAAGGTAGCTACCAACGACCACGAACAGGGGGGAATCTTAACCATCTATGCTCTGATGAGAGAGTGTCCTCGTTCTTTTTGAGGTTTTGACCCAGTCAACCACTGGGAAAAATCCGCCTTCGCTGGGTTTCTAGCCCTGCAAATCATGGTATATCAATCCATCTCACAGGCGATTTGTATAGGGATGGTGAGATGACCATACACCATATACATCCATACCAAAGCATATGTCACGTTGGTAGCCATGTTCCTCACGCCAATTTTGGGGATTGTGTGCCACTTTCCGTATGGATCATGTTTACATCATGTGGCTATGGCACCCACACTTAGGTACAGATGGACCCACAAAGTATTCTCTAGTGCTTACCCATTCCAAATTTGGCAAATATGTTTGAGCAATCTGAGCCATCCCCGTTTTGGCTGGTAGGAGAGGCGGTGGTTCCCACTACAAAAGCAGTTAACGACAACATGACTCGCTCGTTTCTTTACCCGTGTTCTTAAAATCCTTGACTTCTTTCCGATCCTCCATTTTTCATTTTGCTAGGTTAAAGTTTATCTAAATGTGTCGGTGTTATCCAGAAACACAGATGTATAATATTATAACAAAATGCAACATCCTTTTAGTATTCAGGTCTGGTTTCTATTCGAGAAATGTTGCATTTTCAAAACCTGTTTGGCTCATGAAAGAATGTAACCTGTTTGGTTCTGAGAAATGTGACACCTCTTTTCTCAGCGTTCTCCCCAGCTTTCTGCAGCAGGTCTTCACCTTTGATCATCGCAACACTGGACGGTCAAGCATCAAGGACGCTAAGGGATGGCATGTTGAACAGTATTTAGCCGCTTTAGCCTGGCTATGGGATTAATTGTTGGGCCAGCAATGAAGGAATGTACCATCCTGCCAACTTGTTTTGTCAGGGTCTGAATCCATCAGCCGGGTTGGGTGAGAACGGCACACTTCACCCATAGAATCGGGAATGGCGAATACCAAACTACTTACCAACTCATACCCGGCTGAACATTAACTTGTTTGATCTGAGCTTTCGAGGGTATATTATATATATATATTACACATATGTAGGTTTGGCCAACGATTCGCTGCGAAGTTTCCCTTCTGCTTGAGTCCCAGAATTGGTTGAAGGGAAATTCTACAGGAAAACCTAAGAAATGGGGTGCAAAAAGCGGTGTCCAGGTGGATCCCAACCATATCCATAGATCCATGAAATCCGTGGTGAAATCTACCATATTTTAATGGTAAAACGGTCACCCCTTTTTCCCCCAATCGCTTGAGGATGAGCCTTGTAGCATGGAAGATTATGCTGATGATGCTGCGGCCTTACTGGAGGCTGTTATGCCACAGAGGCGCGATCCAAGCGACGGACGGGAGTTTGACTGGTTGGTGACAAAACCAAGATGAGGATCATGGTGGGGTTCACCATCTGACGTGGGGATATTGTGGGTATAGAACCAATGATGATTTGGTTGGTGGTGGATATGATAAAGATCTAAGCAAGTGTTTTTGAGAAAATGAGTAGCGGACAATATACGGAGACAGCAATCCTTAACTGTTTGGTGGTTTCAAATCTGCTGTTGTTCAACCATAGGAATCACCATCAACCAGCGACGGTTTCACCAATGAACTTCAGCTGGATTTTCTCAGTACTTTCGGAGATCCACCGCCATGGCCACGCCTTACAGCATTATATAAATAATATCTATATATATATACACGTCAAAATTATGTATACTATTTGTGTGTATTCTCTTCGTATTTCACATATGTATATGTTACATAATATGCATGCATATGTGAAAATTATTACACGTGTATATGTCTTTATGTATATACATGTATATGTATATATGTGTATATATGTATGTATGTATGTATATATATGTGTGTGTATATGTATATATATATATATATACGTATACAGGTATAAATGTATATATGTATATATGTACATATGTACTTTCGTATGTATACATACACACATCTACATGTAGTATATCATATTATCCATGGACGAACTCAGTTGTTTTTGCTTAATGCATTAATGTTTTTTCTGCGCGCCGCTTCAACAACCCATCTTTGGTGCCGAAAACTCATCGGTTTTTCTGATTTTCCCAGGCTCACTGTGTTTCTTGCTTGAACCTCCTCTGGTTTGTGTTTAAATCAGGTTTTCTCTGCAAAGACCCTACGTGTTTTTTGATTCAACCTGCATGATTGTTGGGAAATCGTTGGCGAGTACATTGAATATTTCTTGGTTCACAACGTATCTGGTTAACAGGTTTTTTCTCTTTAACTATCAAAAAGAAACGGCAATCTCCAAGTATGTGCCTAGACATTCATATTTGGGATAGAAACCACCGAACCCAACAGGCTGCATAAAGCATCCTGGGAGGCTCCCCGTTTGCGTCATGGGCGTGTCCTTTGGCGCGATGGTGGCGCAGCACATGGCCTCTCGTTTTCCCGTGTCGCATGAGTCGCATGTGCCCATTTCGCCTGGTGGCTGGGGATTGAACCATCAAAGGTATTGTGGTGTAAAATGTTATAGTTTGATACAATCTGATGGTGTACATGTATTTTTGATAGCCCATAAGATAGTAATGTTGTTGAATCAAAAAAACTGATACGACTTTTACTGGGTGACCAAAGGCGCCCAAGTAGAGTTGTCATGCCCTGATCAGCGGAACAGGCCCTGATCGAGAGAAAGGTCAAGAGACCGAAGTCACAGCGGTGTTTTCAGTTCTCATAATCAAAAACCCCCGAATGATCAGATTGGGTCATTAAATGTCCCATTTTGGGAATATTGGACATCACCTGAAAAAGTAGCCATTATAGACCATATACCTAATGGTTGGGTGATGTGACCCATGGGGACATCAGTCATGACCCATGGATCATTCAAAAATTTTGGGGGCATCCCATGAACTCAGAAAGCCAAAAACCATGGTTGGTTCAAAGTGGTCACATGCCTTGGAAGTCATACCATTTTGGGGGTTGACCCGCCACAACTACCAGTTATTATTTTGCTGTGAACTACAGAGGTTCAGGGTGAACTGGCCCATACCCATATTGGACATCAGTTTGCCAAATATTTGATCCCTTCAACTATCAGCGACCATCATTGTGGTTGGTTTTTGTGGCATTGTTTCCGGGTTTAGAAACCATGAAGTGACCATGAAGTGCCCCGTGGTGGACAACCATTAAGTCACTGCGGCTGATGGTGATTTGTCCGGGCTTAACGGGGATATTACCTCGTGTGTAACCATGATATAGAGATGAAATGTTGACAACTGTAGATATAGGTCGTATGATGGCTACTGTGGGTCATTTAACACAAATTCAGGCTATGAACCTTGAAAACCAAAGATGTAATCTATAATAAATGATGGCAGATTGAAGCTGATTGTGGTTTATGAAGAAATATCGCCTTTCAAAAGCTGAAAGAATGGGCGCCCCCGATCTTTCCGCCTTTAGGGAGAGGTTCCATGTCACCTCCGTTCAGCTATGCATGAAATGCCATCTAGATGTATCCACCGTCGTTTTATGTAAACTGTAAACATGGATAGATGGACGGCTGGATGCTGGAGATGGACTGGATAGGCATGGATAGGCTAGATAGACAAGATACATTCGATACATGGATGGCTGGATAGATGGGCGGATGGATAGGTAGGTACAGTAGATTGCAAGCAAATGAGGCGGATCGAAAGAAAGAGATATGCAAGCCACAAAAGTGACAAAATACATCAACATACCATAAACTACAGAGAGAACCAATACCAAAAAAACACACAGAACGCCGTTTGCCATGAGATCTCTGGACAAAATCAATGCTCTATGGGGATCGTCCCAGGCGCTCCGACATCCGAAGCTCATCAAGCGCTTAGCTCCTCCGAGGATGGGAGCAACTGTTGGATCAAACAAAATGGGGGAGCTTTACCACGGGATAAAAATACCGGGAAAATGATGGAAACAGTTGGAAAATCATGAAAAATCATGAAACGCGGGAATTGAAGAGTGATGGAACAACATTCTATAAACTACTTGATTTTGATTTGGGGCAGCTGACCGTTAGAGCCACATTCACTCAGTGGGCATTTGGTGGGATTTATGGAAGGGGGGGTTCATCCGAATTCTCTGAGAGAATCTCAAGACATTTGGGCAAATGGCACAGCGACCTCAGCTGCAGCCTCATCATGAGTGATTATTGAGAGTGGAAATTGATTTGAAACACTCTATTCTTTGGATATGCATTGTATGTGTATGTTTCTACAGATAACGAATGAAGATACATATATAATGATTTGCCGATATCTGTCCTAACACATAGGACTGGGTGGTTTCGAGCATTTGGCTGCCCTCTATCAGATTTTAGGGAAGATTCCAAGCGACCTTTTCTCGGAATTCAAACCACCAACTGGGAGAGTGTTCGTCACAAATGTTGCTGGGTTTCTGGGGATAGTTGAATGGCTTTGTTGAGACGAGAATTTGAAAGAGTAGCTTGGGCTGAGGAAGAGATATAGAATGAATATGTATATATATATATGAATATGAATATGAATATATGTATATATATATATTATGTATGTATGTATGTAGGTAGGTAGGTAGGTAGGTATGTAGGTATGTAGGTATGTAGGTATGTAGGTATGTAGGTATGTAGGTATGTAGGTATGTATGTATGTATGTATGTATGTATATAATATGTATATAATATGTATATATATATATTTACAAATATATTTATATATGTATAAATAAAGATGATTAATAATCATAACTATGTGTGTACATACATATATTTATATGTACACGTCTCACGGCCAGGTTGCACATGTCTTGAGAGCTATCACAATGATTTGTCCATTTGAACAAAAAATGGAACTCCGTGTAGCGATGCGTGGCACGGTCTTGTTCATTCCCGCTTTTTTGGCATGACCAGATGAATGAAACTGGGATTACTTGATTACTTGGATGACGGATTTCAAAACGAGTGGAATTCCCCGTATCTACTGGGAATCCTACTGTAAACACGCAGAAGAATCCATCCACAAGGGTCTTGGGAACTCACTGGCAGACTTGCGACCAGACATAGTCCCTTGCCAAGCTCTGTAAACCAAAAAGACACATGGTGACTTTTGCTTGAATTATTCGGTAGATTGGGTAGTTCAATTTGTTCATCTGCCGTAGATATAAGGGAGCGTCACAACCAGCTATGTGTTTTTGCGGTATATCAGCGTATCATTAGCCATGAGAATGGTCAAGATGTTCCCATTTCGATCCGAAAGGTATTGATCCATCATCCGCTTGTGATTGAGCATATCCAAATTCATGGTTTCAAAGTTTTTAATCCATATGAAAGTCTCCAAAGATTTGCTAGATTGAAAGTTTCCGAACAAGTCTCCATATTGAAAGTTTCCAAACAAATGATGGTTTGAATTCAGAGAGCTCTAAAGCTATTACTCATGAGTATTCAGCCAACTCCCAGTTCGGTGCCCCAACGACAGATTATTCATAAGCCCATTGCAATTCATCGTGGTTGTTGGTGGTTTCTAAAGCCCATTTATAAGCCCATTTATAAGCCCTTATTATTTGGGGATTATCCTATTGCAATCCATTGTGAGGATCCCATATTTTGGGGATCCGTCCATTATTCCATGGAACATTTTGGATATAGTGGACCCATAATGGATTGATCCCAGAATATCCACTTCTCACATCTTATAACATCTTATAACCTTATTTCTATATCCCATATATTCCCGTTCTTCTTGACGGCAGCCCACGCTTCGAGGTGCTTTGCTGCGGTCCAAGTGGTGGAGATGGCGGTATGTCGTATCCCATCCATGACACCCGGGGCGGGCCGGAAACGGAACTGGGGAGAAATCACTGTGAAAATTGAATATCCAACTGCAAACTACTTAAGTGGAAGAAATATCCTGGAATCATTTGGAATCCTGACTTCTCATGTTTTTTGGCATATCTTACCAAAAAATGTCTAAGTGGCTTATCGGCTGCGGAGGAAAAAGTCAGTTGATGGCTAGGTGGCGTTATGGGACGAGGTTTCATTGTGATGAGGTGATTTTAGCATGAAATATGTATCCTGATGAAATTGAGTTTTACCATGTTTTACACATCGGATATTTCAACTCCATATGATATATCTAAAATGATATCCACATGATGTTCATATGACATAGATTATATATATATACAAGTATTATGTGTATATATATATACATATATACATATATACATATATACATATATACATATATACATATATATATAGAGAGAGAGAGATTCACATGATATCCATATCATCCCCTCCTGACCTTGCCGCGCCACCGTGATCCGTGATCGGTTTAGGAGTGGTACAGCCCCGGCGTCTCCATGGAGGATCGAGTGACGCGAAGGATCTTCCAGGCGAATCGTTCCAGGGATGCCGCGTGGAAGCAAAGGCACCGATGGGAACGACGAGATCGCTGGGAAGTCTTTGGGTTTTCGAAGTCAAAAGCTCCCAAAAGGATGGTCAATTTTGGATGGAACTGGAACTATAGCTATTTTTTGGAATTAATGGGAGATGTCACCAAATTCTATCTGCTTGGGGGTTCTATAATGTTCTATATGTCTTCAATTTACAAGTGGCCGACCTCTCGGCAACCTCACTGGGTGGGGGTATCATCTACGGTTGTTTCTCATGGAAATGATCTACAAATGGTGGGTGTTCCACATCAAATGTTCGTTTTCTGGAGGATTAGCAATGATGGACGGGTTATATCTCAAATATCGAGTTTTCATCAAACCTCAAAATGTTCAATTATATCGTGCTAAATCGCGCTACATCTGTTTAGTGGCGTTCCTCTCCCATTTTTCTTACTAGCTACATCCCCATTACTTCACCCAGTGCTACTGCAATCCTCAGATTCAGATTTTGTTCAGGTGCAAGAGTGAGTGGGAGATGGTTTACACGCTGTTGATGAGAGATGTGCCTCGGGTCAGAGCCGGACATGGTCAGTAGATGAAATCCTCATGGCGATTTATAGTGGAACAATGGCGATATGATGGGGATATGCATATGGTTGTGTTTGAAAATGGTGGATTGGGAAAAGTGATGCTCTAATCCATCAGACCCTGGGGGTGACTCGCCCACGTGCATCTTTGTCAGGAAAATAGGGACATGAGCAACTGAGTGTGAGTTGCGAATGATAGGAGGTGTGGATATTTGCTAAGTAATATGGAAATATATGATATACTAAGCCAGTGAGACTAGTCCGGCCAACAAACTTGTGTTTTTTCTTGGCAATTTGATTGGCAATTCACTCGTACACGCACATTGTGGGACGGACTCCCATCGGACAGACATATACTATAGACATCTATAGACTATCAGGCCCATAAGGAATGACAACAACCATGATCAGGAATCCTAAATTGGGAACCATGTCTTGAGATCATGTTGTCAGCAGCTCGTTTGTTTGCAAACTACTTAAACGAATTAAGAAATAACTCTCAAAAAGCTAGAAATGTACGTTCACATATTTCTAGTAGGATTGTACTTTTTCTATCCTTTTTGGGGTTACTCTAAGTGTTTTTTTGAGGTGTATAAATGATGCAAATCACTGACAAAATTCAAGGGTTTCCCGACCTTGAATGTTGACTGTTCACTGGCATGGTCACCAAGCATGCGCACTTTATGTGATGAATTAATTGTTAAATCATCTAGAGTTGGATAAGATATGGCCTGAGAAGCCGAGAAGCGTTTTCCATGATTTTCGAAAGGCAACGGCAGCAGGAAACAACATGGATGTCGACAGTCCCAAACTAAAACTGCTGATGCATGACACAAAGATCAACTGAAAATGATTGGCATGTCAATGTTCGGATGGTTTCAGGTTCGGCATCATGGGATTCAACGCCTAAAATAACCGCCCAGAAAACAAATGAGTAAAACCTTACTTTAAAAGCCCCTATTACTGCAATAAAAAAACGCAAAGGTGACCATGAATAAGCCCTTCTTCGTGGTTTTTGGTGGTTAAGTTTTGCTCCCCCATGAGGCCCAACTAGAATCCACAAATCACCGATCCAAAACGCGACCAAATCTGAGGAGAAAGTTGGTCTTGATGAGCCACTTCGTGCTGAAGCTGGGCGAAAACTGGATTCTCCAAGTGGGGATCAAAAGCTATTGGCAGTGGGGGAGATGGATGTCCACAAATCCTAGCTATTTTTGGTTGAAATAGAGGGCACCAGGGTCTTGACTCATGACTCATGGCCTGAAACTCTGACCCAGGGCAGCCTGGGCGCCAGGGACGGTTGATGTTTGGTTGGTCCCCAGGAGCAATGGCCTGTTGAGATAGAAGCCAGCCGGAACCCCACAGCCGGATGGCTATCAAAGTACCATGAATGAAATCACTGGTTTGCTGCTTGAATCCTCAGGTTTGCCGGTTAAGCCGTGTTAAACCCCCTTTCTTCCATGTTTTTCATGCTTGAATTCTTGATACTTACTGCCTTGACTCCCCATGGTTCCTAATTATATAAATCTCCGAATTTGCTGCTTCTCCGTATGCGTTTATCATCATGTTGCCCATGAAATTGAACATAGATGGGGGGTCCCATTTTCTCAATCATATCAGATTGTTGAGTGTATAGATATACACATACAAAACATATATACATATATACACACATTTATGGCCCCAGGGTTGTTTCCGGCGTTTTCAAAACCGATGGTTTTTGAGGGCGCCTATCCCGAAAACGAACCTGTAACCACATATATATATATATGCATACATAGATACATACCACAAGATAATCCCCCTGAAATCTTCCTATTACATCCTATTATTGAGTTTACCACATGTGTTTCCCTGGTAGTTCTCCCCCAATCCCCGAATCCGCCATTGCGAGGAGGGGATACATCGGCAACTGGAAGCTAGGAAACAGCATGATGTGTGGGCCAGGCCACCCCGTGGCCCGAGATGTTTTAGGAAAACCGCAGAACGCAGTTGTGATGTATGTTAGTATGCTTAGTTGCAAGTGTGTATGTGTGTATTATCCTTGGTATGGTTAGTATGGTGATTACATTAGAATTGGTATACTTAGTGTTGAATAAGTAAATGATTACTACTTAGTATGTTGAAGACCATTATGACCATTAATGTACAGTATTTAACATGACATATATGTATTCATATGTGTTTTATGATCCTGCCACTATATGCCACTATCAAAAATCATACAAAAATTGGGATATCGATTGCCAAAGAAGGAATGTGAAATGGGGTATGAACCCACATGAATCCACTGTTTTCAGACTATGTGAACTGGGTCATGAGCAGTGTCAAATCCCGTGTTGATTTTCTCGGGGGCTGTACTACCCGTTATGTTATATTCACATTGGGGGGCGTCCCAATCCATGAACTGGGAATCCCATTCTTGACCAACTAGGATTGAATGAAATGACAGAGCGTTTTGAACACTGCTAAAATTGGGATTTGACATACAGAAATGGGAGTTTACCAACGCAACTGCAGCAAAGAAATGTGGAGATTTAACCTCCAAAAAGGTGGATTCACTCCATTGGAAAAGGTACGCATCCAAAAATGTCATGGGTATAGGTATGAAATCTATTGAAATCTATGAGGGATGCATAATTTTGTACACTCAGGCCTTCAGAATCTCGTGATGAACATGGAAATTCGTTGCTGGGATGTGCCCCGCTTCTTTCATAGTCCTAGGATTTGAATTGTTTGGAGGCCAGGGTGTGAGAGTTTTTGAACGTTAAATCGAAGCGTTGAGTTACTCACCTGGTTCACAAACTTTACTTTGCATGGTTCATGGTGTTCAATAGGAAAAAACGCATTTCATGAGTTGTTATCCACAAAAACTGGCTATGTTTTGGTTGGGGCTCCAACGAAAATGTGACCTGTTGGTACAAAGCCTGAAAAAAATTAGCATTTTCCCTACACCAAAGTTCCTGATCGCCCAAAAAAAAGATGGAGATTTAAAAGAAACTATAGAAATGTAAATCATGGTAAATAAAGGTTCTATCCCAAGTTGGGACGTATAAATGCAATGCAACATTTAGGATACACGCTTGCGTGGCAGAAAGGTATGCGAAATGCTTACCCCTCAAGAAGCGAAGTGCTCCAGGTTTACGCAGCTTTTCCCATCTGAGAATTGGATGGATAATTGCGTAAGGAGTCCTAGCCAATAGGGTCCAAATCTTCTGGAAAATGGGTTAGTTAGCTGATGATAGGCACTAAGTATGATAGCTGGTATTGCTGTTTATCCAATTCTTGAGTTTTGACCGCTAGATGAATCACGACCTCACGTCACCATAGATTTGCATAGATTTCTCTTTTGTCCAGGGGACCAAAAATGCTCAAACATGATTTGAAATAGTTTCAAATATCCATGCGCATAGAATATATATATATATATTGTAATATATAGCAACCCCCAGTCATAGAGCATCATAGATAGGAGAGCTGGAAACCTGGAGATTATTGTGGAACCATCATCTATAATATCGTGGAGGTATGTTTCTGCCTCTTGGATGCTTACGATACTTGGATGTGCATCCCTCTTAGTAAGTGGTTCAGAATCCATGTATATATATATTATAATCCATATAATCCTATGTATAATACGGAATATTCATGAATATCCCACATATATAATATATTAATGAAATATAACTGGGGGTAGAACCCATTTACTAAGTTGGGCCCCCAGGTATGCTTAAGCTGCCCAGCGGGAAATTGTCTCAGCGCCAGGTTGCCAGAGCTCCAGATCGAAACGTTTCTTCGATATCCAAATGTACAAACCCGGACTTTAGCAGGAAAAATGCAGGAAAAAAACATCGTAACCTCCACAGAAATAGAAAAGTATACAATGAAAATCATTAGTTTAGGCAGTTTAGGATTACTGTAGATTTTACCTTTCTTTTTGGCTGGTGGTGCTACAAAATCCGTGAATAAACCGACCAGTCAAGGGGATTTGGCTAAACCTTCAAAAGTGAAGAGACAGCCTATAGCCGCCGAATGATGTTCCGTTGCTCACTTGGAACAGGGCAAGGATTGTACTAAGTTGCCTGATGCCCGGTTGACCGCTTGTGCTTGAAAGTGATTTGGCTTCACCATGAAAATACGTGATGAAGCACCCGACAGAGAGAAATTGACCAAGTAGTATGGTGCCCTTTAAGCCAGAAATGATGGTTACAGTAGTTGTAGGGTTATATGATTATTCATTGATTTAATGATTTGAGGGATTATTACATCACCCCTGAACAGTCCGAATCCCGGTCCCCAAGCTCAGCTCTCTGCAATACTGTATCTCCAAGTAGTCTATGGCTTGATTTCTGCTGTTCCCAAGTTAACTACGAAATCTAAGAATGGAAACGTGGATAGGAGATGATGGTCAATTCCAATGAAATGATAATGTTCATAGAGTGCTTGGAAGCGGCCAAGGTCCAAAGAGGCTGTGATTTGCCGCAAAGAATTCACCTCCGCCGAGGCTGGTCTGCGGAAGTCCAGAAGACAACATCACACCTGTGGAGCTTCTGGAAAAACTCGCTGCACGCATTGGATGCGAGAAGAAGCTCGATTTCGAGGAGCTCGTCTGACTGACATTGCAACCTCACCATGACCGAAATAACCTCACCTTGAATGATGATTGGGGAAGTCATGCCATTTTTTAAAAAAAAAATCAGGTTCTGGAAGTTTTTGGGCTGGGAGTCAACGTCAATGGCGGCAGGGCGGTCATGCGTTTGCAGCGGCGGATGCGAAGTGTTTGCCTTTCATCAACGACTGGCTGAGGAGGTATCAACATGGTGGGCCCCTGAACATCGCCAGGTTTTTTGGACTAGACTTTATAAATGCATCTGCAGATGCATATACCAAAATACATGATTGATATCCTAGCGATTTAAATTGTATAAGATATATCTATATATAATTATATATATAATTATAATATATATATACATGTATATATCATGTCATACATAGGTAGAAAATCGAAATCAACTTCGGTTCTCCCAGTGAGTATTTGGCATTGGGTCCTATCAGCGGTGGATAGGAGTTGGTGTGACAGGTGGATATAGCAATTATCTGGGGGGCCTTACTGTACCTAAAACGAAGATACTGGACCACATATATTCTATTAGATATTCTACTATATATATATGCAATATTGAAAGTGTATATATATATATACATATACATATACATATACATACATATGTACATTTATAAATATATATATATGCACATATATATAAATATATATTACTGTATACATATTATCTATATTTACATGTGTATTTATATATATATAGAGATATGCACATGTGCACGTGGTGGATTTGTTTGCGAAGATGGGCTTGAACAAGCAAAATCCCGTTGACCAAGCTCTAGATTTCTAGGAAAATGCATTGGCTAAATCCTTTGTTGTCATTTAAACCCCCCACTGGCTGAGCCAGGCCCAGTGTGTCTGCCGAGACGTCCAATGGTCACAGTGTGCTATGGTCGCCTGCAATGAAAATACCGGATTCCCCGGGTGCCAAAAAGAATGTCATGAGATTCTGGGATTATTCAAAAAGTTATATCATACAAGTGGTTAAAAGTGTGGCCAAGAATGGTTTTCTGAATGGTTGAGAGTGGTTAATTGTGATGAATGGTGATTAATAGTGGAGATTAGTGATTAATGTGGTAGACCCAATCATAAATCTACCAGTTGGGGATGGTTATGCCACCCATAACAATGGTGATGACTTGGGGATGGTTTATGAATTGGTTTTACCACACTAATATAAATGCGTGTTTCTGAAACTAGTGTGTAGCCCAAAAACTGCCACTTGAATAGGACAATTTCTGCGAAACCAGTGGATTTAGGGGTGCCTTTTTTTCAGACAAACCCAAAATGGGTATGATTCTGTTTACTAACAACTTGCGTCACATAGAACGTGAGATAATGATGGGTGATACTCTATCGGCTACTAGGGGTCCATTCTTCTTTTTTTGCATGCAGTTTTCCCGGCATTGGTTTTTCATCGAACATTTACAGGAAACCAATAGTGCTGCTGGACGTTCGGGATCCTGATCACCATTGTGAGGAAGAACCATTTGAGGACCAGGTATGTCAGCAGATATTGTCAAGATCTCCAGGCCTCTACATCTACTGCTCATTTCTAGAAACTAAATTGGTCATGCGTCAGTTATTTCAATTGGTCGTGAAGGTGACTAATGTGAGGACGAAAACTCCCTCGAGTTGCAGATTTTGCCAGGTGTTATCGATGCAATGGGATGTTGGTGGATTGTGGTGATAAAATCATGGCTTCAAATATACGCACCCCCAATGCTGAGAAACTGGGGGCGCACCTAATTAGAAAGCGACACTTGCTCCATTGGGCACTGGGATCTTGCCACCAAGATGTTGTTTTGGAAAGCCGAAAGCCCCGGCCCCTGTTCCCCGAAGTTTTGCCATTCTTTGCTTGGAAATTTGATAATGCGAAACCAGGATGCAGGATGAGTTTTGCCGGAAGCGAGAAAGTTTGGACAAATTCACTTGGTGATCTTGGTGGTGAAGCATCCCTACAATGAAGGCATAGACTGCCCTGTGGCTGTAATCATTCGATCGCTCAAAAGCTATACAGTAATATAAGTATGTAAATATATATATATAGTTATAGTTATATATATATAGTTATATATATATATACATACAGTATAGTATAGTATAGTATGTATATTTTTCTGTGGTTGTCCATTCCCAACATTCCCAAGCTATTGATGAGGAAATATGGGGAGCTAAATTGCGTACTGTAAGCAGGGCAAGGCCCTGGGGATGGATGACGCTGATGGCGATCACTTTTAGCGGTCGGGGGAAGTGGTCATATGAAAGCTGCGTGCCATCAGCTTCCTTTTGCCATATGCCTTTTAATATCTTTTAATACCCCTCAAATGATAAACTTGATTGAATTCAGTGAAATGGTATGGTGTAATCTTTGGTTTTTCAGATCCCTGCTAAACTACACATCCGTTTGGTGGTGGCTCTTACCGACTTATCATTTTCAAGGACACTTTGAAAGGGTCAATGATGGAAGAAACAGCGAGCGTCCGGCACCCTACAAATGACAGGGGGGAGCCTAGTTGTAAGTTGGTTTATAAACCCGTTCAGCTGCAGGTCCGCCGTAAATCCAACAGTTGTTGTTACCAGTAGTACCCGCACGAGGCGGGGCGGAAGTTGCCTTAAAGATATATACCAGTAGTACCCGCACGAGGCGGGGCGGAAGTTGCCTTAAAGGTATATATAAGACCTTTCTCATCTATAGAACTTGCATGCGCCGTGCGCCAGCCAAGCCCGTGCGTGCGCGCACTCTGCGAAAGTGGCGTCCTGTTTCACATGTCACATTTGAAGCTCCACTTCGCCCCTTCACACTTCCCACTGCACTCTTCACACTCCACACTGCACTCTTCACACTCCACACTTCACACTCCACACTGCACTCTTCCACTCCACACTTCACTTCACAGCGCGCTCTTAAGACTCCACACTTCGCACTCCACACTTCACACTTCTCACTTCTCACTGCTTTCTTCATACTCCACACTTCAGACTTCACACTCCACACTTCACACTGCACCCTTCACACTCCACACTTCATCTCATCTGAGCTTTTACACACAAAATCTTCTACACACAGCAAGCTTTTACACACAACATCTTTTACACACAGCTAGCTTTCACACACAGCAAGCGTTTTTACACATGGCAAGCGCTTACACACACAGCAAGCTTTTTAAACAGAGAAGCTTTTACACACAGAGAAGCTTTTACACAGGAATTGCAGCTCCAAAACCGGATTCGAGGCCAAACCGAAAACAAGACGATTTTGAAACATTTTTTAAAAGGATTTTTGAAAGGAAAATTACGAGCGCCAAAATGGAGAAAATTTGCTGACAAATCACTGTCGCAGCCTTCATGCAGCCACTCCAATACGATTTGCGAAGTCCAGCTGCAAAAGACAATAGTATTACGCATGCAGCCGCGGCAAGAAGCAACCTTGACACAGCCATTACATTGCGATCTGCAAAGACTGAGTTGCAAAACACAATAGAACTATGCGCAACGGCGTCGGAAATTGCAGCTCCAAAACCGGATCTCGACGCCAAAGCGAAAAAAAGACGATTTGAAGCACTTTTTAAAAGGATTTTTAAAAGGAAAATTACTAGCGCCAAAATAGAGAAAATCTGCTGACGAATCACTGTCGCAGCCTTCATGCAGCCACTCCTCCCCACAACACACGGCATGCAACATTGCCATTCCAATGCAATCTGCAACCACAGCTTCAAGAAACGCACAGAACTACGCACACAGGAACAACCACTCGTTGCAGAACACAGAGGAGGAACCAATCGCGTCCGGAACGACCGCAGCCGCAACCGCCGCACAGACGAGGTACCTTTCATCGCCGGCTGCAACCACTTTACACGGAAAAACACAAGGTTTCGTGCTCCGGCTTCCTCCCCAAAACTTTGCCCATGCAACATTCATGCAGCCATTCCAATGCGATCTGCAACCACAGCTTCAAGAAACGCATAGAACTACGCACACAGGAACAACCACTCGTTGCAGAACACATGAGGAGGAACCAATCGCGTCCGGACGACCGCAGCCGCACCGCCGCACATACGAGGGTTACTTTCATCGCCCGGCTGCAACCAACTTTAAACACGGAAAAACACAATGTTTCGTGCTCGGCTTCCTCCCCAAAACAAAGCCCATGCAACATTCATGCAGCCATTCCAATGCGATCTGCAACCACAGCTTCAAGAAACGCATAGAACTACGCACACAGGAACAACCACTCGTTGCAGAACACAGAGGAGGAACCAATCGCGTCCGGAACGACCGCAGCCGCAACCGCCGCACAGACGAGGTACCTTTCATCGCCGGCTGCAACCACTTTACACGGAAAAACACAAGGTTTCGTGCTCCGGCTTCCTCCCCAAAACAAAGCCCATGCAACATTCATGCAGCCATTCCAATGCGATCTGCATCCACAGATTCAAGAAACGCATAGAACTACGCACACAGGAACAACCACTCGTTGTCCGGAACGACCGCAGCCGCACCCGCCGCACAGACGAGGTACCTTTCATCGCCGGCTGCAACCACTTTACACGGAAAAACGCAAGGTTTCGTTCTCCGGCTTCCTCCCCAAAACTTTGCCCATGCAACATTCATGCAGCCATTCCAATGCGATCTGCAACCACAGCTTCAAGAAACGCACAGAACTACGCACACAGGAACAACCACTCGTTGCAGAACACAGAGGAGGAACCAATCGCGTCCGGAACGACCGCAGCCGCAACCGCCGCACAGACGAGGTACCTTTCATCGCCGGCTGCAACCACTTTACACGGAAAAACACAAGGTTTCGTGCTCCGGCTTCCTCCCCAAAACAAAGCCCATGCAACATTCATGCAGCCATTCCAATGCGATCTGCAACCACAGCTTCAAGAAACGCATAGAACTACGCACACAGGAACAACCACTCGTTGCAGAACACAGAGGAGGAACCAATCGCGTCCGGAACGACCGCAGCCGCAACCGCCGCACAGACAAGGTACCTTTCATCGCCGGCTGCAACCACTTTACACGGAAAAACACATGGTTTCGTGCTCCGGCTTCCTCCCCAAAACTTTGCCCATGCAACATTCATGCGGCCATTCCAATGCGATCTGCATCCACAGCTTCAAGAAACGCATAGAACTACGCACACAGGAACAACCACTTGTTGCAGAACACAGAGGAGGAACCAATCGCGTCCGGAACGACCGCAGCCGCAACCGCCGCACAGACGAGGTACCTTTCATCGCCAGCTGCAACCACTTTACACGGAAAAACACAAGGTTTCGTGCTCCGGCTTCCTCCCCAAAACAAAGCCCATGCAACATTCATGCAGCCATTCCAATGCGATCTGCAACCACAGCTTCAAGAAACGCACAGAACTACGCACACAGGAACAACCATTCGTTGCAGAACACAGAGGAGGAACCAATCGCGTCCGGAACGATCGCCGCCTGCAGCCACTTTACGCGGAAAAACACAAGGTTTCGTGCTCTGGCTTCCTCCCCAAAACTTTGCCCATGCAACATTCATGCAGCCATTCCAATGCGATCTGCAGCCACAGCTTGAAGAAACGCATAGAACTACGCACACAGGAACAACCACTTGTTGCAAAACACAAAGGAGGAACCAAAACGACCCCAGCTGCACCCGCCGCACCTCACCACTTCCCATGGTCCCCACCTCCCTTCCTCACCACTCCCCTTCATCACCACCTCCCTTCGTCACCACTTCCCTTCCTCACCACTTCCCATCGTCACCACCTCCCATCGTCACCACCTCCCATCGTCACCACCTCCATTCGTCACCACCCTGTGTCATACCTTCTTATTCTATGTGATGTACCACCCTTCATCAAGGTCAATCCTTTTGTGATGCAATGTTATGTAATGTAAAGTTTCACACCACCCTTCATCAAGGTCAATTCTTTTGTGAGGTATTGTTCTGTAATGTAAAGCCTCACACCAACCTTCATCAAGGTCAATTCTTTTGTGATGTATTGTTATGTAATATAAAGTCTCACACCACCCTTCATCAAGGTCAATTCTTTTGTGATGTATTGTTATGTAATGTAAAGTCTCACACCACCCTTCATCAAGGTCAATTCTTTTGTGAGGTATTGTTCTGTAATGTAAAGTCTCACACAACCTTTCATCAAGGTCAATCCTTTTGTGATGTATTGTTATGTAGTGTAAAGTCTCACACCACCCTTCATCAAGGTCAAGTCTCAGTCGCGCACCACCCTTGATCATTTCAAGTCTCAGAATTCTATTTGTCCGTAACACGGAAGTATTGCTTCCCAACTTCCTTTGATAATATAGAATCATATTGAATCTTTACACTACAGTAACTTACCTTTAAGGAATTAGTTGTTGAATCTAGGAATTAAGTTGATCACATTTTCCCTTGAGTCTGACACGCCAAGGAAAGTCATAGGAGGAGCAGACAAAGGTGGCATCATCGTGAGAAGTGGCCCTGGATTGACTGATGAGTTGGCAAAGGACAGGCCTGAGTTCACGGTGAAAAAGTGGGGAATTCGAAATGCTTCAGATCGTAGGGATATAATCATGATACTGGTATATATATATATGTACTGGTATCCTATAGATTTTGGGAACCATTAAATGGAGATTCGGTCAATGGAAAGGAGGACATGAAATATAATTCCTCCTGTTCAAAATATTCGGGAACGGATTGATACCACCAACCAGAAATCGTAATACATATGGACATATATTTGCCTGTAATTAGTATACTCATGCATACAGGTGGTTATATTGTGTTTTGTGTTTTTTCGTACATGTCCAAAGCAGACAAAGATTTCAGTGCACACAGTAAGCCTGTTTACACAACGCAATTGCTGCTGTTCATTATTATATATTTGGACCAGGTTGGGCAGCAGTTTCACGCCAACATACAAAGCGAGCAAACGAACAGCAGGAAGATCGAAATGATAGGAGTGATTCTTGCCCGCATGCAGTCAGCATACTGGTAGAGGTTTTCCTTTTCGCAACCCCAGTTCCTGTGATTCTTACCGTCCCAGAATTGCAATTTCTTTATACTTTTTTCACCAAGGATCCAACGGAAGACATGAAGCGCTTGGGGGAATCACCACGACTGCACGAAGCCCTTCCCACGGGGGTTTAGGGGACTAAGACGGTGTTCTGATAAGGTTTTTATAGCCCGACAATATAGTCATGTGGAATACCTCCCATGACTGCCACGAAATGAAGAGATCCAACATTGCACCAGGGGGGTCGGCGCAACAAAAACCTGTGGCCCACAGCTAGAGAAAGCCCTTTGGAGCTCCTTTCACACATGAGGTGTCATAGGATAGACGAGGATCAACATTGGGAACCCCAAAAACTGAAGGACTCTTCATGATCCTTCATAGTCACTTCAAATGACTGGCCAATCTGTGCAAAGTTTGGGGTTCCAAGTTTTTGACCCATCGCCGACCCATGGTTTACCACAACCGGCACGAACTCCATGGACTCCAATCAAAACCTGTCCAGCCCATTCTAAGATATAGGTGAGTCCAAAAATTGTCTCTCTCTATATATATATATAGTTTTGGAATGTTTTGGACAGATCTGTTGTTATATATGTCATATGTTGTTGTGATTCCTAGTAGCGATTGGCTATTGCAAATATGTATATAAGTACTCTATATACCCCCATTATATTCCTCTATATATATATACATATATATCCCAATTCGTCTGCATGTTGATCAAAATCCCTAAGATTAGCTACCAATAGTTCTGCCGGTGACAATTCGGTCGCGGAGATATCAGCTAGTTTCAGGTTGGCGAATTTTTGTAATTTATCCAGATAGATGAGTGGTAACATCATCCTCAAAATGGTTATTTTTATTATGAACCTTTATGAACGTTTTAGCACATATAAACCCTAATACAGTAAGTATACATATATCTATAACTAATATCTAAAACTAATATCTATAACTAATATCTATAATGTATATGTATTATCCATTCTCCATTATCTATATCTATATCTAATATCTTATATATATATATACATATATATATATACATCCCAAGTATATCCCACGACATCTACCTGAGATCTCCACATATCCTTTTTTTTCTAGTCCTGGCTAGTGATATGCCATTCTATTCCCATTAAGTCCCATGATGTTTGCAGGAACGCCTCACCACGGGCGCACTGGTGGAGGAGGTCGAGAGCCGCGGCGACCGGATCCGTCGCCAGACGTCAACATTTAAGGGGATTTAATGGGATTTAATCGGGATATTGCAGGATTTTTTCAACCATCCCTCTGTTAATGAAAAAATGCAATGGGAAATACCCGATATACCCTCTAAATGGGCATCTATACATGGGAAAGTTATCACAGTGAATGGTTTTTTTGCTTCCAGCCAGCAATGTTTGATTATATATGTATGTTTTATTATTGGAGGGCACCATGGATACCATGGAATGATAGGAATTGGAAGGGTGACTATCCCAAATTGGCGAACTTTTTAGGTGACAACGACGTCTAGGTAAAGTAAAACAACGTCACCATGACGTCCTTATAAGCATCCCAAAGATGGCTTACTTGCAGTGCAAGAAATATCGTGACTTGCCCAGATGTGATCATCAAACATGGCAGCAAGTAGGAAGCAGCTGGGAAAGGTTTGTTTTTGCCCCGAACACAAGTTACGTTTGAAAACCAGCAAGAAGGTGTGTTTTGCAGGGCTAAAAAACGTATCGTTTCTGCCCAATCAGCGCATATGCACTGCAGAACGGGGAAAAACAAACTCGGAAGCGGTCAGTTTGGATTACTAAACAGGAATGTGCTTGAAAGGCATCTGCTGGGCCCTCGGGAAACATATGTTGCAAACCCTATTTCAGTGAAAAGTTGTGTTTCAGCTTTGAAAAACAAACCTGCCCCGTGCGTAAAAACCTGAGTCCCCAGCCCTCAAAACGTGTCTTGTTCCTGGGAAAGAAACCTGTCCGAGGGCAAACAGGGTGTTTCGAGGTTAGAACATGTTAGAAAGTGAAGTCTTTTGCCTCTTCGTACTTTTGTGATAGAAAAGAAATGTGGACTTAGTGTGTTTCTTCCCCCGGGGATTCCAGGGCTGCCCGGTTCGAAACAAACTTTGGATGAGAAATCAACGTTTTTCCATGGTGGAGATGGGTGGATTTTACACATGAATCCTGGAGTTTGGGTGTTGTCCGTGTGAATAAATGAAGCTCCAAAATTGGCAAGTAAATTTCGAATATGATGATAAATCGTGCGACTTGAAGGTACCAACTTTTTGGACAAGCGTCAATTGGTGAAAGGTAGGCTAGGTTGAGGGGATGTTGAACATTCAAGATATTATGCCAATCAACTAAGATGGGAGATGTGTTTCACCAATAAAGAACGGGGATATTTTGGAAAACTGTGACTGACAGACTGACTGGTGAGTGCTTGGTCAATGGTTTCTTGTGCTTCAAACGGCAAACGATAACACAAATCACACCTTTTTTAAAGGCAGCTCGAGAAATCACTGGTATTACTACCTATACTTTCTGCATCCTGGCCTTTAAGAATCAAACTGCCATCATGCTGCAGCGTTGCTTTAATGTTTGACATGATGCGCCAACACTTTAGAAAGGTAGCCTAGTCGTCTGTCACTGAAATCAAATCCAGGCCAAAAAACGAAAATTGACCACATCTCCAGTGGTCGCTTGGTCGATCTCCTTGGTAAGAAGACTGGAACTCCCAACCGGTTGGTTTACTGTAGTTCCATGATCTACAGATGCAAAAGTTGGTGTATTTCCAGTGTGGACCAGCGGCACCTTCACGGTGTGAAATCAACCAATCTGACTGGTTTGTGATCTTTACAGTTTAGCCACAGGGGCTCACCACGCCGAGGTTATCGATTACAACAGGGTACAGGTCCTCGTGAAGGTTGGGTCACAGTAAGGTTGGCTGGCGGCAAGGTACCTTGGACAATAGCCAGATGGATTTGTCCGAATTCGGGTACGACCAAATTTCAGACTGAATCATAATTTTTACTGTTAAAATTGCTATTGTGGGGCATACTCTATGGATGGTTTTTAGAATTAATTACAGGCCGCAATTGTTTCTTTGAAGCTTCATAGTCTTTTATCAATGGGTAGCCCTTCCTCAGAAGCTCTGGCTTGGGTTGTGCAAGCACTGCGTATCTTCCACTTGTATTAGATGGGTGTGTGCAGAAATTGGGTACACCCCCCAAATGGCAGTTTTAATAGGAAAACCAACCAGAACTCCAGAACTATTGGATTTTGGAGTAGCCTATTTTCAGACAAAACCAGATATGTAGCAAGACTTACATGTTGCTCAAAGCTGTCGCCTAGAACACCTTGAGCACATGTTCACATGTGGCACTTGAAGTCCTTTCGCGAATGTTGAGAAATGCCAAGCTCAGGAATTGCTGAGTAGGGCTTGAGTAAATGATTAAGATTATCGATTGATTAAAAAATAAATATAAATTATATAATATATATATATATACGTAAAACATTCAAAGACTACAGATTAATTACAACATAACATAGCCCGACCTCATTTGGATAGCCCTATCGACAATATGTTTTATATAAAATTAAAACAAAGGCCCCATAGGGGGAAACCCATTATAATCTATTTACCCGTGGGATCAGGGGATCTCCATGAAAGGAATTATTCCAATATTTATAATATTCTATTAATATTTATATATATAATTAGTTATAATAAAAATAAATATCTAATATTATAAATATATTGAAAAAATATATTATGATTATGATTAGTATTATTTTATTTAAAAATAAATATAATAAATTAAATATATAATTTTAATAAAATATTATATTTGATCTTTGTTGATATTAAATTAATATTATTAAATAAATAAATTAATTTAAAGAATATTATTAATTTAATATTAGAAATATATAATTAAAATATATATACAATATATAATATATTATCGAATATTATTAAAATATTACAAATATATATAAATATATTACAAATGGATTATTAAAATATTAAGCATTTTCGAAATATAATTAAGAAATTATTAAAATATTAATAGGATAAATATATTTAAATTATTATGAATATATGTTATTATAATTATTATATTTATTT